CCACAGGTGCCATGCCCAACATTACCCCATTGTAAAAGCATGACAGTGTATTCCTATCCCTGTTTCATAAAGGAGGCTCAGAGAGGCTGAACAATGTGCATGCAGCACACAGATATTGGGGTTTGGGGCCATGTGAATTCAAGGCACTCTCTCCTGTAATTGGGGGAGGGGTGCCTTGGAAGGAACAGGCTCTGTGACCCTCAGCAAGTCACTGCTCCTGAGTCTCAGTCCCTTACCCTATAAAAAGGAGATGGTGGCCTGCAGAGGAGACATTTAACCACCCCCCCCCCATACCGCCTGACACCTGAATCCAAGGAGGGGTTCATATCACAGTCACTTTATGCTTTCCCAGTGCTGGGGAGCAGAGCGGTGATTCTTCCACCCCCAAACTGTGCAGCCTTGGGCAAGTTACTTGGCATCTCTGAACATGAACTTCCACATTTGCAAAATATAGGTGATAGTAACAGCTAAGGTAAGCTACACAGTGGTTGAAAAAGCTCTTTGAAAAGCACTACAACACCATGCAAGGTGGGCCAGTAGCACTGGTTAATTTCTATAGACCAGAATAAAACGTCATAATGTTGGTGATGAAGATAATAATAGTGCCCACCATGAGAGTGAGGCCTATGAAATGACTATTCCTTTAAAAAGCCAACTGAAGAAATAAGAACAATGGTGTACAAAAAGGTGGATTCTAGCTCAGGTTCAAAGTAGACCCTGTTTTCAACTTTCACAAACAAATGTGAAACTTAAAGAAAAAATTCAACTGAAGGGCCATGTCTTCCCTTTGCCAGGAAAGATGCAGCCGTCCCTTCCTTCACCGCAACTCCCTGCCTGTCCCTACAGTCTGGAAAGACAGACCAGGCTGTGTCCAGAGTAAACACGGTGGCCTGCTGCTCCCCCTTTGCCCGCCTACAGACGGCCTTTGATGGTGCTGGATGGAGCAGGGGGGGCCACTCCCGGCCACAGCCATCACTCTAGCCCACCGGCCTGGCCCAGCACGGTCCTTCCTGGGGGACAGCACTAGAGCTCACCCTGGAGCAGCTGGGTTCCGAGGCCAAAGCCAGGGTGCCCCCACCTGAACATGGGATCCAGACATCCTTCTCACATTCCATTTTAACATACTGTAAGGCAATCTCTATAAAGCAGCGGTATGGTGCAGTGGGTCAATTCACAGTGCTGGAGCCCAGCGACCGAGGTTCAGATCTGGTCCTTGTGCACCTAACTGGGTACCCTGGGCAAGTCACTAAGCCTCCTTGAGCTTGGGTTTTCATCTGCAACACAGAGATTATGCTAATATCTTGTGCACAATTCCAAAATCTAAGATGCTCTCAAGATCAGAATTTGGGGGTAATTTTGAGCCTTGACCTGAACTAGCATGAAGCTATTTACTTATTTTATTTATTTCACTTAGTATGAAATTAATATATTTTCCTGGGGAACTCTTAGGGCTTGGTCGACGGCACTGGCCCAAGGACATGGTTTATGAGCCTGCTCAGGCTGCCCTAACAAAATGCCACGGACTGAGTGGCTTTAACAGTAGAAATTTACTTTCTCACAGTTCTGGAGACTGGATGATCAAGGTGTCAGGAGGTTTGGTGTCCCCTGCGGCCTCTGTCCTTGGCTTGCAGATGGCCGCCTTCTCTCTGTGTCCTCTCGTGGTTCTTCCTCTTGTGCACGTATCCCTGGTGCCTCTTTGTGTGTCCAGATGTCTCCCTAAGGATACCAGTCAGCTTAGACGAGGGCCACCCTAACAACCTCATTTTACCTTAATCAGCTCTCTCAAGGCCCTACCTCCAAATACCATCACATTCTGAGGTGCTGGAGTTTAGGGCTTCAACAAATGAATGGGGTTGGGGGGTTATAGTTTAGGCACAACACATCATAAGCTATGTGCACTATGTTGCCTTTCTAAAATCTCAAAACATCATGAGTTTTGAAACATAGAAACTCATCACAAATGTTTTGAATAAGGGATAGGGAACCTAGGGAACTGTCTCCATAGGGTCATGCCGAGGACCGAATGCACCAACAGACATAAAGCACTGCCCCAGGCCACCATGTGACTCTTCCCACTGGAAGGTGCTTTGTGGGGCCAGGGGACACGGCACATGTACAAACAAGCAGGTGCACACTGCATCTAAGTCACCACGGATGCACAAGCACAGCTAGATACGAGCTCACCGAAAAATGGCTCCACTAGGCATTGCCATGCCTCAGACCCCTCTGAGAATGATTCTCAAAGAATATTCTGAGGCCCACAGGCAGGCTAAGAGTGACAGATGGTCAGCTTGACCTTCAAAGGCAAGCTTCTGTTCACTGGAGAGAATGAGCTAGAAAACACAGCCCTGGTCACAGAGAGGCATGACCAGATAAAAGCACAACTTGGGAGTAGACCCTGCCTGCCACTCTACGCCATGGGATGTTGCGGACATCTCCAGTCTCAGCCTCAGCGGCCTCACCTGAAAATGGGGATATGCGTGCATCTTGCTTCAAGGGATGGCTGTAAGGTTTAAAAAGAGCCCGTGGATTAAAAAGGCTTAGCACCAATCAGCACCCCCAAATATGCCAGTTCCTTCTAGGAGAACAGGTTAACAGAAAATTGGCAGGTCTTCAAGATGCAGAGGAAGCATCAAATACAAAGTGTGAGGAAACAAGGGGGCTGGAAGGAGGGGAAGGGCTTTGCAGCGCAGGACGTCTTTGCTGAGTAAGCTATAACGACAGCACGCCTTAATACAGCCTCGGAGCTCAGGGAGCTCAAAGGGCTTTAACAGACGTGATCTCACTGGGATTTTTTTTATTAGCTTCTAAGGCAGGTTAACAGGTTCCTCCATCTCTGCTGAGACAGTGAAACTGCGGGCTGCCCCAGCCTCCCCTGACACACAGAGGCGGGGCGGGGTGGCGGAGGAGGGGGGCGCAGAGACTTTCTGAGCCTTGCCTGGGCGGCAAAGACACAAGATCTGCTTCTTGATCTACAATCTGTCATGAGCCAGACACTTCTAAAGGAAATTAATTTTTTAAAAATAAATTTCCTAGAGCAACCTTAAAAAAAAAACTCTGTATTTGTTTTTCTAAGAAGCGGAGAGGGACCAAAGCGGGGGTGGGGATGCTGGGGGGGTGGGGGTCAGAATATGGGGGTGTTTCCCAGTCCGTGCGGCTCTTCCTGGAGGGCTGTGCCCAGCGAGGACCGGCTGGGCTCCTGACTGCCCAGGATGGCTGCTTGGCCATTGCTGTGCTCCTGTTTCACACTTTCTCCTCTCTCTGTCAAGCAGCCTTTGTTCCTGAGGTCTCCGAGGTGTCAGCCCCACCCTGGGCCACTGTATCTTCCTTTGGATGATCCTCAGACCTGCTTTAACTCCGCCCACGCGCCTGGCCTGGGCTTCCCACCTGCAGCCCTGCTCCCAGGGCCACTGCAGCAGTTCAGGGGCAAGGACTCACTCGACCCTGGATGTTTCTGGGCAGGGAGCCCCTTGCTTTGGGATCCCTGAGCTCGGACAACATCGTGGGGTAGGAAGGGCAGGGGCCAGCTCCCAGGCAAACACTTCCCCTCTCTGCAGAAGCCTCAGTTCCCCCTTCAGTCGAACAAGCAAATGGGGGCTTACATTCCCATGTGATTGCTCAACTGAATGAGATCACGTCCGCGAAATATTTCAGAAACTATGAAAGTGCTGAGCACGTGATAACCTTCCATGCCCCCTCCCCGACTGTTGCCGAGGGAGGGTGCTCCCCTTGGTCACTGTGAAAGACAGGTAGGGAGGAGGGACTGGACAGCAGGGAGACACCAGCAGAGCCCAGTCCCACGGCTGCACCAGGAGCCCTGGCTGTACTTGAAGCTCACACGGAGGCAGCGTGGGGCCCTGGGGACAGCTGAGGCTCTGGAGGAGGCTTACAGGCCAGTTCACAGTCCCTGATGTTCCACACAGCTCTGTGGCCAAGGGCTCAACAGCAGGCCACACATACGGGCAAGGGGACCAGAAATGCCCGTCTCTCCAACTCTCCATCTGGGAAGCAGGCGCAATAACCATGCGTGCTGCCAGGTGACTAGAGGTTAACCAGGCACCTGGACACAGCAGCACCCAATCAAGGTGAGCTACTTTCTGTCATTAGTGTTTGCCTGGTGGAGCTGTCATCTTCATCAGTAAGAGGGAAGTTTGGGGACACCTGCACCAGATATTTATTAAGAGGATCAGTTTAAAAGATGCGCTGAAAGGGCTTAGTATGGTGTCTGACACACAATCTAAGTACTCAATAAATGAGAGCTCTAATGATTTCAGTCGGAGAAAAAGTCCACGCATGGAGCTTTTCCAGGAACCTGGGCTGTCAGAGGAGAGGCCTGGCCTCACCCTGAACAAGGAGCATCTCTCTGGCCAGTGACTAAGACCGGCACCCGGCAGGATCTGGCTGCTCTGACAGGGCGGGGTTGGGCCGAGGCCGGGGCTGGGCCGCGGCCTGGGTTGGCCTGCATTCAGGATGATGCATTTTTACCGTAAGGCCTGGGTAACTCCAGAGCCAGTGCTGGCCGCGCCATCCCTGGGGCCTGACACTCACTGGTCAGCGATGAGAGATGCTTCGTAAAAGAGGCAGGCGCTCCAGAGCCCTCGCAACTCCAAATGTCGAGAAGCACAGAGCTGGGTAGGAAGGGACAGGTCCATGGGTGCATGTCATTTAATAAAACAGCCACCGTCTGTTTGCTTAACCATCTGAGGCAGGTCTGAGTGCCAGGCTGAGTTCTGGGACAGGAGCCAAAATCAATTAAAACCAGGGATGAGGGAGGAGAATAAACAGTGAGAGGAGGCTGACAGGGGTAACAGCACAGGAGGGGCTGGGGTCCAAAAAGGGGGCGAGAGGAGACAGACAGACAGACAGTCGGACAGACACGAGCATACGCGCGCGCACACCACTCCTGCGGTCCACACAGCCCAAACTCAATGCAGAAACGTAAGTTCTGGCCACAGGGGCTCTACCTTCCACAGGCCCAACACGCGACCGCATTTACATACATCGTCTCATGTGGGCAGGAGCAGGGTCAATGCCGGGACCATGTGTGTGAGCTCTAGACACCAAATCCAAGGGTCCAAATGCTCGGTTGGCCTCCTCCTTGCTGAGAAAACACAGCAAAAGAAGCAGTTAGAAAGGACAGACTATAGGATTCCAGGACAAAAGAACTTTGAAATGGCTTGTTCACAACTGTATTTTTGCCCAGATTATTTCAGTATCAGCCTTTGGAAAACTGTAATCATTTCTCCGCTACAACTCACTTCACGTGCCATCACTTGTCCAATTCCTTGCCAGCAAGGAAGTAAGAGGGCAGGCATGAAAAGCCAGACATTAATGGTTTTGAACTCGTTCGACCCAGCTGTGTGACTCTGCGTGAGCTAAGTTTCCTCATGTGCAAATTGAGGAAAGGGCCCACTGGGTTGTTGTACGGCAGAAGAGCCTGGGTGCCTGCCATGTGACAGGCCGTCCAGGACAGATCACCCCTTGTCATAAACAAGAGGCACGTCAGCAAAAAGTGATCATGGGTTTCACTTGGCAAAGCCACTGTGAAACCATCTTAATAAATATGTATTATACAAATGAATAGAATCATTACCAAAGCTTGCTGCTTGGAGAAAACCGAGGGAAAAAGAATTCAAGAACAAGGTGACAATGTCAGAGGGAGAGAATCATGACCTGGGGTCAAACACAGGCTGATCAGTCCTATTAGGAGATAGCTGGGACTTGCTTTACTGGGATTCTTGAAATTCCAGCAACGTGGCACCAACCACAGACACTTTCAGATAAAAGAAAGGCACCATGGCCAAACTATGACCCCTGCGCACTGGCTCTGTGGACAGACTGCCGCTCTCTATTGTTTTCTTGTCTCAGAAAGGGAGATAATAACATTCCCTGCCTTATTTGCACAAAGCACGTAACAAGGCTGTCAAGCACACAGTACGTACTCAATAAATGTGACATGGTTGTTGTTTTTTTTTTTTTTAATTCCTATTTAATATTATTGCCATCATCCTACCACCGTCTCTTTTCTTTCCTCTTCTTTGGAATCAGCACTTTCTCAGAGATACCTGGCAGCTCACACAGCAATAAAGATGACCACGCTTCCCTTCTATTGTGAGCGACGAGGGAACCTGGGAACATCCGGGAGACTTCAAGATGCTCTCATAGCATTGAATTCAACTTCCCACAAACCCTTAACCCTTTGCTGCTTTCTCCCACTAGACTATAGGCCCCACAGGGACAGCAAACATGTCAGTTTGCTTGCCCTTATATCCCTGGTGCTTAGGAGAGCATCTACCTATGTTAGGGACGCGATAAAATTGATGGAATCACTGGTACATAATAATTGCTCGACAAATCTGGGTGAACACCTGTGAGCAGAAAGGCCAGTCGCCATGTTCTTCTCTCCATGCACATCCAGCCTCCAAATCCGAGAAATGGCGGGCCAGTGCCCAGGCAGACCAGCAGCCATTCGGCCTAAAGGGGTCGGCAGGGTCTCCACCAGCATCCTAGCCAGCGCTGCCTCTGCGGCACACTTTGCTTGACTGGAAACACACTTTGATCGACTTGAAACACCTTAGTACACTTTCATGTGTGGTACAAACTCTTTCTCCTCTCCAAGCAACTGTGTGAGGTTTGGGAGCTTCAGGCCTTGAGTGCAAAGAGACCAGCAAGGCCAAGGACCTCGTTGGTCCCTCCCTGGGCCACAGAGCTGACAAAGGGCAGCAAAGGCCCTTGAAGGCCATCTAGAACCCAGGCCTTTTGCTTCTACATCTGGCACCAGATTCAATGCTCAATGGCTGTTGGTTTGTTAAAGAGGAAAAAAATGAACAAATGAAAACAATGGTGTGATAACATCCCAAATAATTCAGAACTGTCTATGGTTAAATGGTAGAGAAAACTGCTCAGTGGCAGGTCCAAAACTGATACTCCCTGGCAACAAAAGTGACCCCTGGGAAGGAGAATCAGTTCAGGTGGCAACAAGGGGAGTGCGCCCAGGGGGCAGAGTCAGGCGGGGGGGGCGTGGCGGGGGAATGTGAGGATCTGTGGGGCCTTTGGGGTCCCAGGCTCGCTCATGGGCAGGAGTGTGCACACAGACAGGGAGCGCATCCTCCTCGCCATCAGGGAAACTTCCAGAAACTGCATCTCACCCATCAAGCTGGCAAAAGGTAAGAATCGGATATCCTGAAGGCAGGTGAGAAGGTGAGGAAAACGGGGCTCTTACACACAGCAAGTGGGAGTGTAAAGTGAGGTAGCACTCCTGTTAAAACAGAAAACGTTCATCCGCCTCCGAGGCAGCAGTGCGACTTTGTGGTATAAACCCTAGTGGGGCACCTGCATGTGCCCACGGGGCGTGAGGATATCCCAGCAGCACTGTTTGTAGAGGGCGGGGAGAAAAGGAAAGACAAAGAGGGGGTGAGAGGGAGGGGAAGGAAGGAAGGGAGGGAGGCAGGGAAGAAAAGAAAGAGAACAATGAAAAGGGATCAAGCTCAGTATTTATCAGCAGGGGAGGAAGGATCCCCGGCCCTAGAGAAATGCTCCAAGACTGTTCATTGTTCATTCTCTCCTGACCTGCCCTCCCTGCCAGGCACTCACTCGTCCACTCTAGTTCATTTTCTTGTTTTGTCAGCCTCTTGCTCTGCCCTCCAGGGGAAAGTGGAATTCAGGGATGAAAACAGAGTGCCAGACTCCCCGGAAGGCTCCTTGCTGTCCTTTGCCCAGGAGAGGCTCCTGTTACAATGGGGCCTGGACCTCAGCCACCAGCCCAGGGAGGGGGGAAGCTGATTTCATCCCACTTAACCCGATTTGCTGTGCCCAGAAGGCAGCTAATGAGCAGCCTGCACCCTTGGAGTCATCGATACCACTTTCCAAATCAAGTTACCAAATTGGTCTTAAAACTGCCTCAGAGGAGCTGGGCCAACTGTTACCAGGGAGGCGTCCTGCCAGCCATCTGGCCACGATGCCTGCTGCAACATCTCCTTCTCAGCATCAGCGGCGGGGCACAAGTGCGCTGCCTTTGTCTCCATTTGGGGTCCCTCTTTCCCCCAGATGCCCGATCCCCCAGAATGGAACTCAGGTCCCCAGAGCAAACATAGGACAGTTGTGGCCAAGAGAGCCAGGAATGAAAGGACCAGGAGAGAACCATGCCATAGGTGCAGCACTAGCAGCTCGGGAAACCTGGGGAAGCCAAAGGGGAAAGAAGAAATTCCCCCACTCAGCCGCACCCAGTTCCCAGAAGTTTCCCAAATAAGCCACCTTGGGGCTGAGGAAGGTCAAAGTCCATTAGCGAACTGGACAACAGAGCCTAGATGGTCACCTCCAAACAAGAATAATGGCAAGCAGTTTCTATCCATTATTTCACTGAAGCTTCACCATACCCTGTGAGGCCTGTCCTCTTCTTGTCCCCATTTCACAGACAAAGAAACTGAGGTAATCAAAGTAAGAACTGAACCCGGACCTTCTTCAAACCCAAGTCCATGTTCAGCCTCTAAGGCACACCAGCTTTATCCCCGAGATCTCGATGACTTCCATTCCCTTTTCTATAATTAAACATAAAAACATAAACATAAATCCATGGAACGTTGCACAAGAGCCAAGTATGCTTTCCTTAAGATGCTTTTGGTTACCAATCCTAAATACGGCCCCTGCTTTTGATGGAGAGCCAATGGAATGTAAGGCACTTGACCATCTTATCTTCCATCACATGAAAGTCCTCAAGGGCATGGGATTATTCTCTCTCTTTTACAGAGGAGGAGAAAGTGGCTCTAGAATGTTGACTGATAGGCTCAAGACCACACAGCAAGGAAAAGGAAGAATGTTCACCCTATGTATTTGGAATAAAATTCACTTTAAACAATCCAGTATCCTTTTCACCAAACCTGTCAACTTCTCTGTGTTCAGGCTCAGCAGAAGAGACTACGTCCACTCTCTCTGTTGGGGAGACAGAACAGATCTCTAGGCCAGCAGTCCTCAGCAAAGGGTGGTTCTACCTCCTCACAAAGGAAACATTTAATGATGTCTGGACTCATTTTGGATTATCACAACTAGAGACTAGGTTAGGGGGCTGCTAAACACCCTACAATGCACAGGACGGCCCACCAAGTCAATCACTGAGGCTCAGAAACCTGCTCTAGAACCTTCATGTGTCTCTTCAGCTTCTTCATGATCTTCATTTCATACAAGAACTTCTTGACTACTCAATACAATAAAATGATACTTATTGATTAGCATGAAAACTTAACACAGGTCACTCTTGAGGCTAACATACCCACTGAAGCCTCTCGAAGAGTTGGCCAGAAAGGAGACCTGAGCTGAGAGGCAATGCATGAAGTAATGATGCTAACATCGCTGGAGAAATTTGCTCCTCGGTCACACCACATGCTGGACCTATGGGAGTCCAGCGAGAAGGAACACCGTGAAATGCAAGACTCAAGTGCTTTCTCCCCAGAGGAACACAAGTCATGTCACGGAGCCACTGGATAGGTTGGGAAGGCCATTAGTCTATTATTCCAGGGGCATGTCTAGGTCCTCAAGTCCACAACCCCACAATAGCCCTTTCTCTTCCTTCAGAGAGACTCCGGACAGAATAAAATAAAAGCTGGAAGACAGATCACAGGGCTGGCAGAGAGGGCCCCAAATCATGCTCAGTTCCCAAGAATAATAAGCACAGGTGAGATGTCGGCTTGTAGAATCTCACAGTCAGACTCAGCAGCTTTGTTCTGATGTCATCAAGGGGCCACCCCAGAACCTACACAGCAGCCAGAGGAGAGCTGATGCCCAGAGTCAGAGCAGGATGTAATCCCAGCAGCACCGCTCCAGCGACGGACGGCAAAGCTGGAGGCTCTGACACTTGAAGCAGTCTGCCACAGAAGTGCCATCTGGGAAGACGAGTCAGGATTTGAATGCAGCTCTGCTCAGAACTCATCACTGGGTCACTAACACTAATCCTGGGGACCTCAAGAAAGCCCTGTATGCCCCCAGGGCCTCAGTTTCACTACCTATACAATGGGTAACCACATCCACCAAGGGGGCTGTTATTGAGCCTTAGATGAGAAGATGAGTGGCATCAGCTTTGATGCACAAAGATGTAAATGAGTCACTTTC